TTATCATTTTTCAAGTATCCTAATTAACATTTTTGATGCTTTTTATGTTCAGCTCAAAGCATCTCTATAATTCTCTTATCAGGACCACACCCTCCACTTTTTTTGAAAGAGTGATTTCAAATGTTAATCACATTATTATTTGCAAATTAACTTATTTGGTGCCATCTGGCAAGTTGCAGCTGTTTTCAGCTTGAATTTAAAGTCACACTGAAATGTTATTTTTATTTTTTTAGTTTATGAGAGTCTGCATATGGGAAGCTGCAATAGATGTTTGTTTTTATTTGCCTGCTAAAGGTTAAAGTGCCTTTAACATCAAGTTTTTGTAATAAGAATGCATTTTTAGAAAGATAAAATATTTTTAAAAAATTAACTCCGCTGAGAACAGTTCCAGATATTTGCATGTACAGTAACAGGAAGTGATGACAAAGGGGAATGCCTGCATGTGAACAGAGCATTGCAACATTTGGCTAACAAGACAGACGGTACAGAATAATCTAATGATTCTTTAGATTATTTTGATTCACTATCAGATTGAGATGAAAAGTTCAAATAATATTGTTTCAGTAAGCAAAGACCAGGGAGTTATCATTTTTAAAGAGTTCCCCTTTGATGTCACTTCCTGTTTCACTTTGGCTACACATTTAGAAAATAGCCATGTAAGTGACAAAATGTCTAAAACCACATGTATTATAACAATTTAAAAAATATATTATGACATTTTCTTCCACTTTTTGTATTTGTAGGAAATGCTCATGACTTGAACAAAATATTGCTTCAAAAGCCTTCTGCCTTTGTGTAATTCTGAGTACTTAAATAATTGAGAATTTGATCAAAGAATATTTTAGGTCAGTGCCTCAGATTTTTGTGTTTTTTTTACTTCTCTTTAAAATAGCATACTTCTTTTACTCTCACGTTTATAGACATGTTTACACATTCAGATGCATGCTCAATAATCCAGGTAGAAAAATCCAAAAAAGTTCAATCTGGTCCTCTGGACATTCAAAAAAACAAAAGCAAAACAAAGCAAAAGAAATCTAGAAACGTTTCGTCTCTCATCCAAGAGACTTCCTCAGTCTGAGGTGCTGTTTTCAGCTCAGTCTCTTAAATAGCACCTTCTTAGAGTAGATCAACCAGTTTGCTGCTGACAACCAAAACCAGCTGATCACATGCTCAAGAAGGACCATCAGCCTAACAATGGGTTATTAGCACACTGATGGCTGTTTACTACTCACAGAGGGCTGAGTGATACTAGCAATCACAGCATTGTAAGAGGGGGACAGTTGAACCCGGAGGCCTCCACCCCTGTTTAACGATGGACGATTTCTTTTCACAAAGATGGCCTCCTTTACTCCTCTCTCAAACCATCGTTCCTCTCTGTACAGGATGTGAACATCTTCATCCTTGAAAGAGTGACCGCTGGCCTGGAGATGAGTGTAGACCGCAGAATCCTGGCCTGATGATGTTGATCTTCTGTGTTGGGCCATCCTTTTGGCCAGTGGCTGTTTAGTTTCCCCGATGTAAGACTGATCACAGCCCTCCTGACACTGAACAGCATACACAACATTACTCTGTTTGTGCCGGGGGACTGGATCTTTGGGATGAACCAGTCTTTGCCGTAATGTATTTTGGGGTTTAAAAGCCACTGGGACGTTATGTTTAGAAAATAAACGTCTCAGTTTCTCTGATACTCCCTCAACATATGGAATGACCACTGGTCTGGGTCTGGGTTCCTCCTTTTCACCTGATGGCTGACTGGAGTCCTGTTTGGATTTCTTCTCTGCTTTCAGGAAGGCCCAGTTAGGATATCCACATTGCTCTAGAGCCTGTTTTGTGTAGGATTTCTCCTTCTGCCTGAGCTGAAAACAGCACCTCAGACTGAGGAAGTCTCTTGGATGAGAGACGAAACGTTTCTAGATTTCTTTTGCTTTGTTTTGCTTTTGTTTTTTTGAATGTCCAGAGGACCAGATTGAACTTTTTTGGGTTTACACATTCAGTTTTTATGAGAAGCAGTGTTTCCCCTAGTTAACTTGCCATGGCGGGGTGTTCATCTCATCCATGATTTTTGTTGACGGGGGGGACAGAGACATGTCTGAGCGCAGCTTAGACCAACAGTTTTTGAGCAGGGGGAGCATTCAGCATGAGGGAAGAGGCGCCTTTAGCTTTTTAGCTAGAGCGCCTGTATTTTGCGCCGCTAGATTAGTGCTATGTCAGTGCTATGTCAGTGCTATGTCAGTGCTGGGGGGTGGGGGGGTTGGTTTGGTAGGCGGGGTGCTCAGTTCTGTTGACGAGGTGGGGCACCCCACTTGTATAAGAAACACGGAGAAGGTTACATGGTTCTGTTGTTCTATATAAGGTGTTTCTTATGTTGTTTTGTTTAGTTCTTTTGTGAAATTAACTTTAAGGATAAGCCCATTTAATGGATCAGCGTATACTCGGGTCAGTCAAATGTGTAGTATTGGTTGTGGACTCATTAGAAGGAACCTCTGTTCAGGTCTAGGTGGGGTTTCAAGAGGTATTTCAAGGACTATATTTAAAATTTTCACCTACAGCACAGATATTGGCTAGAAGAACCTTGGTTCTTTATTCATGCAGAGTTTCTTTTGTGCAGTATTTTAGTTTTAACAAAGTAGGAGTTGTAGAGTTTGGTAAAATAGGCGACAGCGACATATTGGCAGTAGTGGAAACTCTTTATTGGGGTAAAGTCTTTAAGGTGTCAAACTGTGCATGAAAAAATACATTAGAATATCAAGAATAGGTAAACGGGCAGAAGATGAGTTAGAAAATTTTGTAGACATTGAAATGGGTAAATGTTGTGCACAGTTGTGAAGACATCAAGCAAAAAGAGGAAGGAATTGAGGTGCTAAGCGATCAAATAGAAAATGGGGGTTAGGCTGAAAAAAAAAAACATAGTGTAAACAATATGTAGCTGCGATGTAGCTATCATCATACTGGCAACCGGATGACAGCAGTGCTACAGACGCATGGTGACTTCCTGTTTGTTGCAGCATAGAGGAAGTAAGAGGCCCTGAGGATGATCTGAAGTGTGAAGCAGAGCTGTGTGAGTGTTGATCATGTAGAACAAGGTGACTGTGTGTTTAAACGAGAGTTTGTAATACCTGCAGCCATACTTCTATTATAGGTTTGGTTTATGCTAGATGTCTGATGACATAGGTCTGTTTTTATTGCTATTCCATTGTAGGCACCGCAGAGAGTGAAACGTTATGATTCACACTCATTTACCCCATTTAATTCAAGCTTTATGATCCAAACAGAAACTTTGAATTAGTTTATGCACAAGATGACAAACTATAGATTATGAGGTGCCAAACGTGACCTTTATTAATCTCAGATTTAGACAACTTTGAGCAACTTTAAGCAATAAAGTCTATAGAGTTTTTCACAAGCATTTTAAGTATCCCAGCTTTAGCTCTGTTAAATTTAGTTCCTAGTATCGTTTGTGCAGTTCTAACTAGAACAAAACTCATTTGTTCTGTTTTAGGGAACTTAACAGTTCCTTCTTAGAACACATTTATTGTAAGTCATGTAGCTATTATTAATATCATGTTTTTCAATATTCAAATCTTGTTCTTCCAGCTGTCTTTGCAGTTTTTTTAGTACTAATTTGATGAGCACATATGCACACTACTATAGAAAAGTCTAGTCTGTGTTGGTCTGTTTTGTGAGAACATTTTCATAAACCAAATTCTGTCAAAGGAAATGAAAGCAGCTGCCAAATGTGCAGTTTGTTTCAGACTTTTCTCCCTTACTGCTCTTTAATGTACTTTATGTTTAAAGATCTAGGAGATGTGCTCTCAGCATGAATTATAAGGTGGAGCTAAGTGCGTGTGTGTGTGCATGTGTGCTTGTTTCTGTTACTTTGTGAGGAACATTTTTGAACACATACTACACTGTGAGAACCATCTGCTCTTTGTAGGGACCAAAGCCCAGTCCTCATGAGGTTCATGTGTCATTAGTGGGTTAGTGGTTAGGTTTAGGACTAAGGTGTGAATTGTGTAAGGGGTTAGGTTTAGGGTAAGGGTCAAGGTTAGGCTATAATGAATGAAAAATGAATGGAAGTCAATGCAGAGTTCTCGTAAAGATAGCAAGGCAAACTTGCTGTGTGTGTGTGGTGGTGGTGTTGGTGAGTGTGTGTGTGAGACTGTTCAAACATTTAATTCTTCAAATATCAACCTTTGGGGATATTTCTTCTAGAAATACCTAGCACTTAGGAACTTGTTTGAAAACTGTGTTAGATGCAAATATCTAGTTGCCACATGTATACCATAACTTCCTGGATTTCAGCAGTACCTTTTCCATCAGTTAGTATTTGTCAAATAATAGATATTTATTTATTTATTATTAGGAAAGGGAAGTCTGAGATTGTCATCATTGTATGTTCCCATACAACAACAAAATTAGTTCTCTGCATTTAACCCGTCACACCTGAGATACACCCAGGTGGAGCAGTGGGCAGCTATGTAAGCACCCGTGGAGCAATTGGGGATTAGGTGTCTTGCTCAGAGACACCACGACATGTGGGAATGGCTGAGGTGGAACCGTGACTTTCTGGTTCAAAGTTGGCTACCTCTACCCCATCTCGGCCCCCAACTGCAGTGACTGCAGTGACATGAATAGTAATAAAATGATTATCTGGCCTAAGACTGATTTGACATCTGAATTACTGAAACTAAGGTCCCACATGTTGTACTTACTTACTTGTTAGATATTCTGTATAAATGCACGTTTTGATAAGATCCTGAACTCCTTATATTTTCTTACCCCTCTTGAGGCTCTTCAGTAGTTGGTCAAAGTGTACTAGAGACTAATGAGACACCTGTTTGTTTAACCTTCTACATTTGAATTAATTTTTGGTTTGGAGGAACACTGGGACTGCTACAAGTGCCCCACTCTTTAGTTTAGGGAGAATCTCCAACATTCTTTTAATACCAGCTTGTTAAACGTTTGTGTGTGTGTGCGTGTGTGTGTGATCTGTCCCGCAGGCTGCAGCATCCAGGGCAGACAGAGTAAAGTGGAGAGCAGAAGATGCCAGCTCCACCTCCCCCACCACCCCCAGGGCCTCCCCCACCTCCCACTCTCGCCATTGTAAGTAATTTTGTCCATCCAGTCAGAAAGCATTTCTTGCTCAGTTTTAACCTTCATCAGCAGAGACATCTCTGGATAAATCACACAGCACAGCATGTCATGGTTAAGTTACTGGAATTCATTTTAATGTTTTTAGTTAAAGTGAGAGCATTTCTACACGCACAACTCACTGTTGTGGGACTAAAAAAAAGCTATCTATTGGTCAAAAGCCTTGCATCATCAATGCAAAAGCTCAAGACAAATACAAAATTCTTAATGCATTTCTAGATGAAAAGAATACATTTTTTGAGATTACAAAATCTTAATGTTGCCTCATAAGCCTGCTGTCATAAAAATAAAAAAGTGGTTTGACAAAAAATAAGTCACTTTTTTTTTTTGTACAGGCAGTGCACAAATCAACCCATGATAACTTAAATATGATATTAGTTTTGCACATTTTTAAAAAGTGAGATTTGTATTAATGTGTGTGGATTTGTATTTGTGTTTCAGGCAAACACAGAGAAACCCACTTTGAACCGTTCAGAGCAGCAAGGAAGGAATGCTCTTCTATCAGATATTTGTAAAGGCTCCAGGCTAAAAAAAGCAGTTACAAATGACCGCAGTGGACCTGTTTTTGACAGTAAGTTCATTTTGCTGGCACTGGCAAGTATCTCGTAAATGAAATGCAAAACCTTTTTAAGTTGAACGCTATTGTGCTATTTGGTTTGAAATATTTGCCTAAACGGCTACAACAGAATACCACTGGAGACTGTTGTGTTCAGTAAAGTTAGTTTGTTTTCATTCAGCTCACTCAGATTGCTATTAAATCTGTAGATGTTTGACCATAATGCACAGCTCCTCATTTTGTGAAACCAAACGCAGTGTATTGTGACAGGAACTTTGTAGCACCTGTCAGCATGGGGGTGGAAGGTTGATTATTTGGGTCTTGTTTGAAGCCCACGGCCCTGGACACCTTCCATTCATTGAGTCAACCATGAACTTCTGTTTACCAAAGCATGACCTGGACCTGGTCAAGAAAAAGACACTGACCTCAAATACAGCAACAAGCTAAAAAAAATAACATTGTATGGCCTTGTCAAAGTCCAGGTTAATTTCTGTGCTGTAGCTAGACCTATATTTTGTAAAGCTGTGCAGAAATAGTCACAGCACTGTTGGGCACCATTCAGCTCATACAGAAGAACATTTCTTCATGTCACTGCTGAAGCAGTTTGGTTATAAAAAAAACTACTGAATTAAAATGTTCCCATATGCTACTTGTTATTCCTCAGGGGTTTCTCTGTTTTAAGACCTAGTAATAATCTGATCATGTATATTTTCATTGATAAGTTATAAATGGAAAGATTGTTGAAGAACTGTTGGGACTTGACAACTAAAGATAGTTTGTTCTCTTTCCTCTCAGAACCAAAAGGGGGAGGAGGAGGAGGAGGTGGTGGTGGTGGAGGAGGTGGAGGAGGAGGGGGTGGAGGAGGTGGTTTAAGTGGTGGGACTCCTGCTAGTTTAGGAGGTCTATTTGCAGGAGGGATGCCAAAACTGAGGTCCGCAGGAAACCGAGACAACGGTAAAACATTTAAATGTTGTAACAAAATAATAAAGAGGGATGTGGTCTAGTGAGACCACCCAGTTAACTTTTCTTGGTTGTCTTTCCTAGACTCGGGACCCAATCGAGGACCTGTTTTCCCACCAGGACCTCGTCCTAGTGGACCCAGCCCTTTTGGTGGTGGTGTTTCTGGACCACAGAGGCTCCCAGGTGTCCCAGCAGCTTCTCGTGGTGGTGTACCCGACCTTCCTAAAGGTCGTCCTAATGTCTCATCCAGGCAAGACACTCCAGGAGGACCCCCGCCTCCTGTGCCTAACACGCCTAGGCCATCTCAGAACTTCCAGTCTCGTGCAGGCCCACCCCCACCCTCACTCCCTGCAGGACCCAGACCCAGCCACGCTTGTGCACCTCCACCACCTAGTGTTCCACCAGGGAGACACGGATCTCTCCCTCCCCCACCCGGAGGCTCTTCAGCCGGACCTCGAACAGGATTCTCCACACCCCCTCCTCCACCCCCAAACAGCTGCAGACCTCCATTACCTCCTGCTCCTGGAGCGAGACCCCCGCTTCCCGATGATCGACCGCCTCCACCTCCAGCCCCAGCAGGAGGCCATCGGCCATCGATGCCCCGGGACATGCCCCCTCCTCCCCCATCTTTCAACTCCAAACCTCCCTCACCCTCCTCGTCCAGTCGTCCTGCAATTGGTGGGGGTGCGCCTCCTCTCCCTCCTGGACGACCAGGCCCCCCTCCCATCCCACCAAGCTCAGGTGGAGGGGAGGACCAAAGCACACCTCGTTTACCCCAAAGGAACATCTCCCTCAACAGGTACAGCTAAATGAGCAAAATGTTCATGCCTGTATAAAGTTAGCATTGATTCAAATCTTTGGGCTATGATTCACCAATCATGCTGTGGCTTCCAGTTAAAAAACAACAACCCAGTTTCATCAATTAAATTTGTACCTCATATGGAAACTGAAGTGTTTTTTGCCTTTACTTATATCCTGTTCAATTTGAATACAGTAGTGCCTCACTTATCGCAGGGCTTACGTTCCAGACGCCCCTGCAATAGGTGAAAATCTGCGAAGTTGGGATGTCGTATTTATTTTAGTATTTATATATTTTAAGGCTTTGTAAACCCTTCCCGCACTCTTTCAATATTCTAAACTCTTAAAACTACATAATTTTAACGACATACGTATATGTACTGCACAGTACTGCAAAATTTTACATGGGTACTCACCAGTGAAGATACTAATACAACTTGAAGGATGAGTTCAGCTTCAGGATTATTTGCGACTTTCCTGCCAGTTCTGTGAGTTTAATAGATAGATCGTTACTTCTGACTTTGTGTTGCAAAACTATTTTTACCACATCAGTTTCTCCAATAGTGTTTGTTCCCTGCATTGCTGCTCTTTCAATTTCGGCAGAAAACAGAAGCCAGTAGCACTGTTGGCTTCTGGGCCATGTAGTTCTTTTGACTTGTGTTACAGTGTAGGCTTATTGAAAGAAAACTACAAAATGGCAGCGCCTGTCCAAAGTTTTTGTTGTTGTTGTTTTGTTTTTTGTCCTAATGGTTGGTTCCTGCTTCTGTCCGTTCCCATTATTGTTTTATCCCGTACTGTCCCGAGTATTGAGGGACTACTGTAATTGGATGCTTTGTGTACCTGTAGTCCAAACTTGATACCACTATGTACTCTGACCCCTGTAACTTGGAGATTTTATTTTCTTCTCTCTTGCAATTCTTGAGGTTTACCTGCTGAAGTAGGTATCAGTTTGTCTACAGTACATTTATTCTGTAGATGATTTGTACTGATGTTTAAATTAAAAAAAATATGTTAACTTCTTGGTTTTTGTTTAGAGCTTTTTTTTTTTAATGTAAAAACTGTAATAAAAATTAAAACTCAGTGTATCTTCATCAGCCCTGCTCCAGCACCCCCACCTGCTCGGACAGGACCTCTCCCTCCTCCACCAAATGAGAGACCACCATCAGTTGGAAGAAACCAGTCATCAGTGCGCACAGGTAAGTCGTCTTCATTTATTACAGGTTGTTTTTTTTTTTCCAATACAACCATTAGATTTAGTTTCATGAATCAATCCCCACAATTCTTCATCAGCTAACGTTGTTGTCTTCAACTTCCAAAGGCCCTCTTCCTCCACCACCTCCTTCAGGTCGTAGTGGCAGCATCAGGTCCTCGCCAGCACCTTCTCCTGTTGGTCGGTCAGGTCCAGAGCCGCCTCGAGGTGGACCTGGAGGTAGACCTCCTCTGCCTCCAGACAGACCAGTGACAGGAGGGGCTCCACCTCCTCCACCACCCATAGGGAATGGTTTTCAAAACTCTCACCACAACCAGATGCAAGGTATGTAAATCCCCTCAGTGACGGCATGATTTGAGACACTATTTCTCAACTAAGTTGGGAGTTGTGGGGGAGATATAATTAAAGGTCTATCATTCAGTGGTGGAATGCATATCATCCACTGCCTTTTAAATCTTTATGTTAAGAAATGAAACATTTGTAAGCATTTTGGTAAAAGCTCAAAAATATTGTTTTGTGTAGTCTCATGGGATATTGTGAGATCTCACACTCAGAATATGTATTAATGACTCTCAGCTACTACCACATCCAATTTTAGCTCAATATCTGTATAAATTGTCCAAGTTAAAGCCATTTATTTTCATAATGTTTAGCTGTGGCTGCAATCTTGAATTGTACTGACTACACAAAATAGACAGTGTAAATGTACATCAGTCAGTCAATCAGTGATTACTTTCTGAAAGTTGTTCAGTGGTTCATAGGATATTTTACTAACAGAGAGACGGGTTTGACTTCAACAGTTAAAGCTAAAGTTTTAAACAACCATTTTATTCATTGAGTAGCAAATGGGTGTAAATAATCATAAATTGACTGAATTATTATCATATTTTTAGGTCAATTGGGTGTGACGGCCATCCTTAATAAGACTGCCTTCAAAAGTTAATCAGTTATAAACATACGTCCAAGTATTCCCTGGAAATTTCATAAAGTGTGTCCAGCGGTTCACGAGATGCCATGCTCACAGTCAGAGTTTGACTCAATAAAGTTAATGACAAAATTTAAAACAAAGATCTTGCACAATCTCAGCTACTACCACACTAAACTTTGATACATGTCTAATTGTTTGGGCAGCAGGTGATACATATTGATAAAATTATATAATTTGTTCATTCGGGAGGGCCTTTGTCAACATATGATGCCAGCTCAGATTTTAAGTGAACTGGCTGCATTTTTCAAACTGCAGTCATACTTTCTACTGGAGATTCTCGTTGCTCTTCGATGTTGTTTTTATCACATGGTTCCACCAAGAAACTCACTGACCTGTATGTTTGTTGTTTTCTTTCTGTCACCCAAGAAGGTAGGTTTGATTTAGAAGGCAGCGGGAACAGGAAGTAACAGTGAGGCCCTGCATGTCCCGCTTTAAATGAACAGAGTTTTTGATCACATTTCCTGTACTTCTACATTTGCCTTCATTCGTATTCCATCATATGTCCGGTTAGATTAGTCGGCTTGATGGTGACAAAACCTCCTAAACCTTGTTTTTTTTTTTTCTTGGATAGATGAGTGGGAGTATCGGTTTACTTTTCATCCAGTGTCAGACCTTCCTCCACCTGAGCCCTTCGTGCCTTGCTCAAAGAGCTACCCCAGCAAGATCACCAAAACAGATGGCAAAGGTGAGACACTCATTCATTCAACCTTTATTTAGGCAGGTAAATCCCATTGAGCCTCGAGGACTCATTTACAAGAGAGACCTGAGAGAGACACAATGTTCTCACATACGTAACACACGTCATACCTCTAAAATAGTTTTCAGGAACTCAACAGAATAGAGCTTTCAGTCCTGTTCGTTCACTATTTTAGCATGTCTTCTAAATCATCTTCTTGATTGTTACTCAGAAGGTGATTAAAAAAAAATCCCTGATTTTTTTAAAAGTTGTGATATAGTGTCACCTGGTGGGTAAATGGTATATGGACCTTACTTACAGGTGCTGGTCATAAAATTAGAAAATCTGAAAAAAATGATTTATTTCAGTAATTCCATTCAAAATGTGAAACTTGTATATTATATTCATTCATTAGTTACAGACTGATATATTTCAAATGTTTATTAATTTTAAGGTTGATGATTATAACTGACAACTAATGAAAACCCCAAATTCAGTGTCTCAGAAAATTAGAACATTACTTAAGACCAATTAAAATAAAAATATTTTTAAAACTATTGGCCACCTGAAAAGTCGGAACATGAAAAGTGTGAGCATGTGCAGCACTCAATACTTAGTTGGGGCTCCTGTTGCCTGGATTACTGCAGCAATGTGGCGTGGCATGGAGTTGATCAGTCTGTGGCACTGCTCAGGTGTTCTGAGAGTTCAGGTTGTCAGATAGCGGCCTTCAGCTCTTCTGAATTGTTGGATCTGGGGTATTGCATCATCCTCTTCACAATACCCATAGATTTTCTATAGGGTTATGGTCAGGTGAGTTTACTGGCCAATTAAGAACAGGGATACCGTGGTATGAAGTGCTGTACAACTTCCTGGTAGATGGCTGCGTTGACTTTGGACCTCAGAAAACACAGTGGACCAACACCTGCAGATGACATGTCACCCCAAACCATCACTGACTGTGTAAACTTGACACTGGACCTCAATCAACATGGATTCTGTGCCTCTCCTCTCTTCCTCCAGACTCTGGGACCTTGATTTTCAACAGAAATGCAACATTTACTTTCATCAGAGAACATAACTTTGGACCACTCAGCAGCAGTCCAGTCCTTTTTGTCTTTAGCCCAGGGGAGACGCTTCTGACACCGTCTCTTGTTCAAGAGTGGCTTGACAAAAGGAATGTGACAGCTGAAACCCATGTTTTGCATACATCTGTGCGTGGTGGTTCTTGAAAAACTGACTCCATCAGCAATCCACTCTTTGTGAATCTCCCCCATATTTTGGAATGGGTTTTGTTTCACAATCCTCTCCAGGGTGCAGTTATCCCTATTGCTTGTACACTTTTTTCTACAACATAATTTCCTTCCCTTCACCTCTCTGTTAATGTGTTTGGACACAGAGCTCTGTGAACAGCCAGCCTCTTTAGTGATGACTTTTTGTGTCTTGCTCTCCATGTGCAAGGTGTCAATGGTCGTCTTTTGGACAACTGTCAAGTCGGCAGTTTTCGCCATGATTGTGTAGCCTACAGAACTAGACTGAAACCATTTAAAGGCCTTTGCAAGTGATTTGAGTTAATTAGCTGACTAGAGTGTGGCTCTAGGTGTCTTCAATATTGAACCTTTTCACAATATTCTAATTTTCTGAGATAGTGAATTTGGGGTTTTCATTCGTTGACAGTTATAATCATCAACATTAAAAGAAATAAACATTTGAAATGTATCAAATATGCATGTTAGGCTGCCTTCAGGCCCAGGCCTACCTTGCAAAAGAGATCTGTGATCTCAATGAGATTTGCCTGGTTAAATAAAGTTAATAAGCATTGTGTTTGTAATGAATGAATATAATATACAAGTTTCACTTTTTGAATGGAATTACTGAAATAAATTTTTTTTTTTCATGCTATTCTAATTTCCTGACCAGCACATGTATATAGCACCTTTCTATCTTGTCAAGACACTCAAAGCACTTCACAATCTGGTGAATAAATGGTAAATGGATTGTACTTATATAGCGCCTTTCTATCTTATTGAGACACTCAAAGTGCTTTACACTACAATCTGTGTCCTCATTTACCCATTCATACAGCACTCTACTAGATCTCTACAAAGCTAATTGAACAAATCATTCTCAAGAGACTAATCAGTGCTTTATTACATTCATACACTGATGGGACACATCAGAGGCAATGAGGGGTTCAGTGTCTTGCCCAGGGACACTTCAGCAAATGACTGCTAGTGTATTCGAACCCCCAACTTTTGCATCTGCCCAGAAACTAATTTGAAATCACTAAACTGTCTATTCCTTTGCCTTTTTCAGGTGCAGGTAAAAAGGAGAGAGGAGCTCCCCCTCTTCCTCCTATACCCAGGTGAAGGAAAATGGCAGCCATCACAACACTTGGACTTATCACCTCTCCACTGCTTGCCTTTTATTTTTTTCCTCTTGCGCTCATTATGCTTTTGACTTGTCGATCATGTAAAGACTGCAGCGTGAAAATGGAAGTGATGTGCAGTCGTCCAAATAAATCACAAGCTCGATGTAGAGTTTAGGCCTTGTGCCTGTGTAGCAGCAGTTTACTGGTGCGAAGTGACCAAAAATCGTTTACACTCTAGTACACTGTGTTCTGGAGTAAACAAGTTTATATATTTGGTTTAAGTTTACAACCATTTTGATTCTGGAGGATGCATTGGGAGAGACTTGTCAATTTTGTTGCTCTGATTAGTGATGCACATTTATTGTATTTTTCAGACATTGCTTTCGCTAATTGATAATATGTAAAATAGCTAGCTAAACATCTCATTATTCCACCAGCTAAGCTCTTTGAGAACAAACTCAGATATAGCAGGTAGCATTATCATCATCTTATGGCAATAAATTTATTACAGACTTAAATGAAGCAAAAATGCAGCCATTTCTCCTGATTCAGAATTTGCAAAGTGCCTTTTTTGATATATTTGCAATACACACCCTTGTGCCTTTTCTGTTCTGATTGTGTTTTGAGTTGATCAAAAGTTAAGGGCATTAACAAGAGATTAGTTTTTATCATTAAGACATTTCAGCTTCTTGTTTTAGTGAAAAGGTGAAAATTTTCATTGGAAATGTAAAATCAAAAGCACTTATCTTCTGAACTTAAAGAGTAATAATACAGCAGGGCACCTTAAACAGAGCAACAGTACAAAGAGGTTTGAACCAAACTTTAAACGGGCACAACTTCCAGCCTCCTGCAAAAAATAAAATGTAAATCTGGGAAACGGTGGCATTGGCTCAACCAAAGTGCTTTTACAGTGTGAATGTATATTTTCTCAAGTTATTTTTGTTTTCTTCTGTTTGAACCATTGAACGGTACGTTTTAGTTGATAGTTACAGGTTCTGCGAGGAAGCATTTAATATATAATTTAAGATGTTTTTAAGAACTTTGTTGAGGGTTGTAGCCACATGAGTGTTGATTCTTGTGTTGCTGTTGTTTTTAAAGCTCTCAACTTGCAATAAAGGGCCTGTGTGGGTATTTGTATGATATAATCAAGTGATACGGAAGGATAAGTTACATTTGCAGTATTACGTTCGCTATTAATTTCCGCTTTGAATGTTTTTTTTATTTTTTATTTTGCGTTGTCATTTGTAAGTGTAAGACTTTTTTTTTTTTAAAAGACAAATTATACAGAAGTGAAATTATTTTTGTGATTTAAGATGCTTGATTGGAGATAAAGGGGTGGAAAAAGGACTTTACATACATTTTCCTGAACAGTAGACATCTGATAAGGACACAGATAAAATGACTTGTTTTGTATTATCACAAACCTTGTTGATCATTTACATATTTGTGCAATAAAATCAATAATAAAAATAAATAAAAAATGCACGACTGTTTAACAGATGTTCCTTTATTTGTTTATTTTGCAATTAAATGTTTTTAGACATTAATTATAATAACCTAAGCATGTTGAGGTCTTTGTTAAGATGGAAACATTTAGTTGTTTAATAAGTAACTGCATTGAGTTTTGGGTTTACTGTGTCATTCTCCACCTGGAGGAGTTTTTACTGTTTTTATAAAGACAGGATATTTTCTGTTGCTCTTCTTTTATATGGATGTTTATGTGAACTATGGAAAAAATTGTGAATTGAAGGTGTTGAGTTAAAAATCTAATATCTGCACAGATTCAAGCCCTACTCGCAATGATAAATTCATCTTATAGTCAAGATATTGAAATTTAAACAATGTTGTGGTCATAATCTGAACGTGTGCAAGCTGTTATGGCTTTAAAAGAAAATATGCTCATAAGTATGTGAAACAACTTGCAGCTTATTACAAACATTTTCTCTTAGATTATGTTTTGTGGCTCTTTGCTTTTAGAAAGAAAAAAAAAGTCTCCACACTTGTTTAATCCAATCACAGAAGTCAGCAGAAGCCTTTCTCGGCGATGATTGGCTGAAACGTCTGTCAGTCATTGTATAAGGGCGTGTCCTCTTTGCAGCTGTCATGCAAATAGCAAAAGCAAGAGCTTGAAAACCACGCAGGACTTTCAAAATATGGTTTTCTGGGTATTATTTTGTCGTCTAAGTTAAAGGTAAGGAATATGACCGTCCAAGTGGATATTTAAAAGTGATCATATGTTTGGAGGACACGGCGTACCGCGCCCTGTTTGTTTTTAGCATGCACGTAGCGCTAACGGCACCTGGCTGTGATGGAGAGGGTTAGCTTGATGTTTGCTTAACGAGGTGGTTTAACTGCTGTAGTTTTCTAGTGTCACTGTACGATAAAAAAAAAAAAAGTCATCTGTTTTTAGATTAAACACCAAGCTAGCTTGCTTTGTTTGGTGGACCATATGCTCTCCATCCCTTTCCTCATCATTTAAAATATTCTGTCAGCACTTCATTCAAAACTAAATCTCTGTGTATTGCTTCAAGTCTTCTGTGGTTCTCGTTTTTTTTTTTTTTTTTTTTTTGTATAAGTATCTTCAATAAAATTTGTGATTTGTTTCCCCAGTCATCACCTGACCTCTTCAAATCTCATCCCACCGTCACCATGGAGACGGCCAACAACTATATTTTGATCCATGGGAAGAACATCTCCCACAACACCCTGAATGGCTCTGCAGCGGTGCCCCACATGTCCATAGACAAGCTGTTCCCGGCTCTTCTTGAGTGCTTTGGCATAATACTGTGTGGTTATATAGCAGGCAGGTAGGTGTGTGTGAAAACGGCATACATGTATATAACTCATACATGTGACTGGACTTAAGATATAAACCATAAAGTGTGCTTCCTTTTTCACCTGCAGGGCTGATATCATTACAGAGAGTCAAGCAAAGGGTTTGGGGAACTTTGTCTCGAAGTTTGCTCTTCCAGCTCTGCTCTTTAAAAACATGGTGTTGTTGGACTTCGGGGACGTCATATGGGCGTTTCTCTGGAGCGTCCTAGTTGCAAAGGTATGTGGCTGAGCTGTCATGCTTTTGTTAGATAAGATTAATTGTTTCTGATTCGGGTTAAACTCCTGTGAATAAAAACTAAACACAACCTGACTACCATGGCCTCATCTTGTGTGCAGGTTACAGTGTTTGTGCTGGTATGCGTTCTGACACTGATGGTGGCCAGTCCAGACAGCAGATACAGCAAGGCTGGTCTGTATGCCATTTTTGCTACTCAGAGTAATGACTTTGCCTTAGGATACCCAATAGGTAAGAAAAGTAAGGCCTTGACTTCTAAAGTTCTCAGCAGAGGAATTTCTTAACTTGTTTTTGTTAATGTTGCTTCTTCCAGTTGATGCTTTGTATCGAAGCACATATCCAGAATACCTCCAGTATATATATCTAGTGGCCCCAGTTTCCCTCATGCTTCTTAATCCCATCGGCTTTGCTCTTTGTGAGGTGCAAAGGTGGAGGCAGGCCAGCCATCCGCAGCACAGTAGTTTTTGCATCTTGGGAGTTGTAGTCCTGCAGGTATTTATCACAAGTTTGTTAATGCAGCTGTTTCTGCTGCTTCCATGAACTAGTTTAATTTTTCTTCTAACTTTCAAGGTGTTGAAGAACCCAATCGTCTTCATGGTGATAGTGGGCATCATCTCTCACTTTGCCCTTGGCCAGCGGATTCCTCTCATATTGTCAGAGTTTATAGATGGTCTAGCCAACTCTTTTGGAGGGGCAGCACTGTTTTACCTTGGCCTCACCATGGTGAGTGGTAGGATTTTGTTTTTATATGCCTGAAATGTAAGAGGATTACATTTTTGTGAAGTTAGTTGTCTAATTTCAGGTCGGCCAGCTTAGGAAACTAACCAGAGACACTGGAGTTGCTTTAATACTGCTCATCACAGCCAAACTGTAAGTATTAATTCAACCTTTATTTAACCAGGTTAGTCCCATTGAGCCACAATGACTCATTTACAAGAGAGACCTGAATTTAAACAAAGAGTGAAGACAACAGTAGATAACGACAACAACAATAGACATTCACAAATGATTCATACAAATGTGTGTGTTTTTCTTTTTTTAACAATTGAAAACTAAATGATAATTAAAAGGAAAAAGAAACGTAGCAAAAAAACAGCTAGATTACGAGGCGGTGTAGAAAACTAAAAACAAGAACATGTCTGCATTGGTTCTTGCCAGGAACTTAACAGATGTTTGAAGCCACTTACTGAGGTCAAGGCCAAGGGCTTCAAATCTTTTTGCAAGATATTCCAGGAAACGGGAGCAGAAGGCCCTTTTGCCTAGTTCAGTCCTCACTGAGGGGACACTACAGGTAATGATGTCCTGAGAGTGCACGCTGTAGCTGCACTCACACAGTGACATGTAGGAGGAGATGTATGAAGGCAGCAGACCAAGAAGTGATTTAAAGATGAAAATGTACCAGTGAGAGAGTCTGTGTGAAGTTAATAATGTCCAGTTAACCAGTGAAAACAGGGTGCAGTGATGGGTACGGTAGTTACAGAGAGTTATGAATCTTAGGGCACCGCGATAGGCAGCATCTGCAGGTTGCTAGCATGAGCGTTCATGTAAATAATTTCACCGTAGTCAATGGAGGGAAGGAAAGTCGCAGTTACAAGGCGTTTCGTAGCATTCGGAGTTGGACAGGATTTGTTTCTGAAAAAGAAACCCAGTTTTACTTTCAGTTTCTTTACCCAATTTTCCATGTGAAGCTTAAAAGAGATGAGTTGTTTTTTTTTTGTTTTTTTTCTGTCTGGCTCTCGCTCGAGGTGGCTGCTTCTGTCTTCCCTCCCCCATTTTTCTCCTTCCTCCTGCTTTGCTCTATGTGTGTCTGAAGCGCCTGGTACACATCTGCCGAGCATAAACTAAGATTATGGATCTGGTGACCTGGACTTTCAATGCAATCGACAACATTTTTTTCAACAAAAAGACAAGGTCCTGGAGAACCTGCTTTTCCAGCTGAGACACGCTGTGGGGTATGTCATGGACCCGTGGGGAGTGTGGCAGTTGATGTGCCTCACAGTCCTGTTTCAGGAGGATGCTGAAGATGTTTACATATTTGGATTTATGATGGCAGGGACTCTGCTTTTTGGCATTGGTTGGGTTCTGTTTTATCAACTATTGAAGAAGATATCGGCAGTTACAAAGCTTCCGAGTCAATATGAAAGTTTGGTTTGTGCTGTGAGTACTCAAAATCAGCTGATTTACGAGCTAAACCGTAAGGTGGAGGTGATTTATGAGAATTGCAGGCCACCTGCGGCTTCTGGGACTCGTCAGCATGGTGGGAGCGACCTTGAAGGAGGCTCATAACATGGAGCCGTGGAATGGATTCCCACAAATCAGGCCATTTTGAACCAGAAAACCCAGATGGACTCTTGGCTGAAGGAAAAAAATCTGTCTGCCTGAAGAAAATCAACAATCAAAGCTTGTCTGAATCCGACTCCCTGTTGGCCTTGGAGACGGGCCGACTATCAAATTTCTCCTGGGTCATGGGTAACCAGGGATAAAAGCTTCATCTATCACAACCCCCCCACACACACCACCACCCCCCGAAAACTTCTGTGCAAGCTTATCAGAACTGCCGGCTGAAACATCACCATCAGAACAGTGGCCGATCTGAAAAACGCTCATGAACAAATCTCTACACCGTGACATCAAATGCTTATGTAATCATGTTTTTAAATGTGCTTGCTGATAGTTTTTTTGATGTCTCAAATTGTGTCTTGATAGACAAGATGTGAAAGATCTTTTTTTGTAATACCACTATCTATCCTCATGGCTCTTCTCTTTTTCCTATCAAAAAGTATTATTCTGAATAAGGATAAGAAGGCTGTGCTTATAGCAGCAGCTTCGTGCACTCAGTCCATCTTTCGGACGACTGTACGTACATGTTCTTGTATCTCGTTGCAATGATAATAAAGTTTATTCTGATTCTTCTGATTCTGACCAAGATACCCAAATATTTGTAGGAATCGACAAACAATAGGTACACCATTAAAGGCTAAAATCAGAGGAAGAACAGCTGAGACCAGCTTCCTGTTTGAAAAAAAAAGCATCCCTTTGGTTTTGTTGGCATTTAGAACAAGTTTGAGACGGAACAAATCTGACTGGATAATGTCGAAAGCAGATTGCAAAAGCTGGAAAGCCTTAGTTGTTTATTGTCTAATTAAAACATCCTGATGCATGCTCAATAATCCAGGTAGAAAAATCCAAAAAAGTTCAATCTGGTCCTCTGGACATTAAAAAAAAACAAAGCAAAAAAATGTAGAAACGTTTCGTCTTTCATCCGAAAGACTTCCTCAGTCTGAGGTGCTGTATTCAGCTCAGTCTCTTAAATAGCACCTACTCAGAGTGGATCAACCATCTCTCATCTTTCGGATGAGAGACGAAGCGTTTCTACATTTTTTGCTTTGTATTTTTGTTTTTTTGGTTTTTTATGTCCAGAGGACCAGATTGAACTTTTTTGGATCTAACTAAAACAGTTACTGTGTAATCAGCATAGAAATGTAAGGATGCATCAGGGATGCTCTGACCTACATTACCTATGTAGATTGTAAAGAGGGTGGGTCCTAAGACTGAGCCTTGTGGTACACCATTGTTGACTGTTAAATAACTGGAGGAAATACAATTATATTGAACACGTTGCCTCCGATCTGAAAGATGGAGAAACAACCAATGGTATGATCTGAGAAACCAATTTCTGAGAGCTTATGACACAAGATGTCATGGTCCACTGTATCGAAAGCTTTAGACAGGTATAAGAAAAGTGCAGCACAATAATCCTTAGCATCCAATGCTTCAACAATGTAATTAAAATTTCCAGTGAAGCAGTCTTTTGCTGTGTTGTTTCGCGTGGGGCCACGTAACTGGTTAAACTTACTTACTAGTAAGTAAGACTCGAATGGAGCAGTTTGTGTTTGATAGAGAATGAAAGTGAAATTCCAAGTCTGCTTTTGTTATTTCAACTCAGTTTGAAATTTTACATTGGTGTTCTTTTAAATAAGTATATATTAAAATGTAAATTCTGAAAAGAAATGTCCCTTTATGACTTACATATTATTTCCCTAATTCAGTATACATAATTTGCTTTGTTTGGCCATCCAAAACCAGGCTACTAACTTTGACTTGTAGAGTGTTTTGGATCTTAGGTTGGACCTTTATGTTAATGACACAGTCTCATGGGTTCTCTCATCTTGTCTGTTGTCTTCTTTTCAGCCTGGTGATGCCATTAGTTTGCAAAGACATGGTGGATATTCTGGATATTGGAGTAAACAGCACAAGCGCCAACCACACAAGTTTGTCCAACTTTGCTTTTCTCTATGGAGTATTCCCAACTGCACCTAGTGTGGCCATTTACGCTGCACATTATACCATGGAGTTAGAGGTGGTAAGTTCTATTTTAGACAACAGCTTGCAAGAAATTTCTCTCATTTACAGACAGTATTATAGCAGAAATACTTTGCAAAATGCACAAATCAAGTACTGAAAGAGAAGACAACTCTCTTCTTTTTAGTTTGAAGCTTTCATCTTTGTAACAAGAACCATGCCCTTCTCATGACCTGCTCACATGACACTCACGAATTTAAGAAGGTTAAAAGTTTTCTTGTAGTTTTCTGCCTTAGCTGCATTTACAATGTATTCACAACCGTCTGAAGCTTCACGCTTCAGCACTGCTCGGTCACATTTTTCTACTTAAAGGAGTTGCAGTAATTTGAAATTTTTTTTAGTCTTTATAGTAACTTTAAACCCGACTACATTGTTTCACTCTTTTACTCTTGTTCAAAATTTAATATTGTAAGGTATCATGCTCAGAGTATGAGTTGTGAATCACACTCCGCTATTACCACATCAAGTTTTAGCACAATCTTTATAAAAGCGACTGGACATTTTTAGCTGTGGTGGCCATCTTCAATGGGTTTAAGTGCATAAGTTCATTAATTGTAGATGGAAGTTTTATTAAAGATCAACCAGTGGTACATGAGATATTTTGCTAAAAGACATGAACACATACACAAAGACAAACGTGGTTTTCAATCCAGACGCTGTCAAAGTGATAAACATTATAATTTTTCTTTTCTTCAGGTGACATCAGGGATGGTAATCAGCACATTCCTGTCGGCGCCAATCATGTATGTATCGGCCTGGTTGTTGACAATCCCTTTAATGGACCCAACCCCCCTTGTGACAGAGCTTGAAAATGTTAGCTTTAACATCAGCATCATCAGCCTCATAGGACTGGTAAGTGACTTTGTTGCCTCATTGATTCATCTTAATGTTTTTAAACTCCCACAGTAATCAGTTTTAAAAACACTTGTTAGAAAATAGTAAAGTCCAAAAAAAAAAGAAGGCTACAATAAGAGCTTGTAGTATGTCGATGGTATAGATGAGGGGTGTTCAAACGTTTTTATAGGTGGGCCAGAACTGTGTAGATGACAGGACTCGCAGGTCAGAAAAATATGAATTTAAGAAAAGAAACAAATTTTTAAAGCGTGACCCCCCCCCCCCCCCCTTTTTTTTTTTTTTTTAACTCTCAACAACTTGAAAAATATTTTGGAGACAGGTTAAAAGTTTAGTTTAAATTCTTGTAGATCCAGAACATTAGGACCCTCATTAACATTAACCTTTTTTTATTTTAAGATTTTAATTTATTACATGTTTTGGGGTCTATTATTTGTTTACTTGTGCTCAGAAAGTTATTTTTCTGTTTATTTTCAGAGACAAAAGCCTAAAATGAATAACTGTTCTTTAAAAAAGGGGGTGGAACTTCAATCACCCGTTTGGACCATGGTTGGCCCAAATGGGTCATCGAAGTTCTGAAAAACAGCCGGCAGTCACTAAAACAAATTCATGAAAGGTTTTAAGGGACACTGATAAAGTTGATCAACTTGTATTGATGATACCACTTTATATTTCTTTAAAAATGTCAGATTTCTCCTTATCAATTATTAAATCAACTGAAATTATTTTCTTTGAAAGCACTTGTTATATTTAGCCAAGTTTTATGAATTATTTTCCAAAATTCTAATTTTTTGTAGTTCAGTGAAGGTTTGTTGTTAAAAAAGGGATTAATTATAGCAACCTATTTGTATTGTACTTAATATTGCTGATTTTGAGAAGGTTATTTTAATTTTATTATTGAGCATGAACCTTCATGTCTTGAACCACTTTGGCTGTGGTTGCCTGGGAGGAGTCGACGGGGGAGAGGACGGCCCCCAGAAAGAAACCATCTTATCACCAGCAAACTGGTTGGTCCCCTGTAGGAATATACTGCTGGATTTTTTTATCCGGATTATTGAGCATGAACTTTGATTATTTTAATCTGTTTTCCTGTTAAACCTAAAAAATTTAAAAGTATCACTATTAAATCTAAAGAAGGTCTACATCTGCATCAACCTTTTAAGCCAGTGGGTCAAACTTATGCCATTCTTTAATTGCAGTCGTGGGCCGCACAAAATCACTTCAAGGGTCGCAAATGGCCCTCGGGCCACACTTTGATCACCTCTGGTTATAGATAGTTACAGTGTCAAACTGTAAGAACAGAAAATAGCTGAAATGATTTTTACTATCTTGAGTTTGTGACCATGTGCTTCTCAGGTGTGGACCATAGGGGTGATGTTGCTCAGCAGAAAATTTAACCAGCTTCCTCACCTCTTTGTGTTAAATCTATTCCTGGCTCAGGTCAGTTTTTATCATGTCACAGTAAATGCTTTGCAGGTGAAGTCTGGTGATGTTTGGCGGTAACCATTTGTACTTTGTTCCTCAGTTCTTGGTGTGTGTTAGCATGATTTTGTGGAACTGTTTGGTGAAACAAGAAGACAATCTTTTTGGCAAAACTCTCACATTTACCTTGCTGTATGGGTCTCTGTACAGCACGTACATATGGACAGGTGTGTGTTTACATTTATGAAAAAAATACCAGGTTTTTATAAGTAAGTAAACACAAATCTGCTTTTCAAACATTTATTTTCCAGGTTTAATCCCTCTCTGCCTAGCTCTGACGAACAGAAATGATCTTCTCAGACTCCGACCAGGAGTCTTTATGGCTTTGGGTTGGGGGTAGGTCTTCACAACCAGTAGTTTTTAAAGAAAAAAAAAATCTGTAACTAACTTTGAAGCAGTTTAGTTTTGATTCTGTTTCTGTTTTGTCAGTGTCCCCTTCCTGATGGTTGGAGGTCTTCTGTTATCAGGAGAGACGACAGACTCCATTGACTCTGCCTTCTTTTATGGCAGAGCTCAGGTTTGAACAACAAATTGTTTTTCAAATTAAGTGTGATCTTTATTTGAAAAGCAAACATGTAACTACAAAAATCTCCTCATTATAACCATTCATTTGATCCATTCTCCTGAACAATTTCTTTTCCCCTTCAGATAATCAGCTCTGCAGTGGTCCTTGCAGTGAGCCTGGTCCTCGGAGCCGTATCCCTGATGGGTCTCAGTCAGGGAGACAGGGAGCAGACTGGGTACCAGGCCTTGAGTCGAGCTGCTGTAACAGGCATCACTGAGGAACCAACGGTCCCCGTTGTCCCAGAGGATCCACAACAACAGCAGATGCAGGTGGCGAACTCTCCCACATGCAGCATCAACTCAGGTAGCTTCACTGTCTTTGTTATGGAACATTTTGTGTATTTTTGTCTGCATCAAAATAATTTACTATATTACGTGTTGTGTTGTTGTGCAGACCTCCAGAGTTTTTCTCCACTCCAGTCTATACCTGACATGATAGCCAGCACACAGATGGAGCACACCAACAGCACAGGTAACAAACTCCAATTTTATTTAATTGTTCCATTTTATTACTGTAAAAAGAAAAGACAAGAAAAATCACTCTGATATAACAGGTAAATGATTCCCAATCTATTTTATGTATCATGTATATTAAATCAAACAGATCTATGATTTTATGTCCTCTACTGTTTGTTCTGTGCAGTTATCGTGAGTACAGTAGTCCCTCGTTTATCACGGGGGATCCGTACCCTGAAGCCTCGCGATAAGTGGAAAACCGTGAAGTAGGAATAGTAGTAAAAGTATTAAGTAGTAGTTTATTTTAGTATATATTAAGGCGTTTTAAACCCTTCCCACACTTGCAATATTCTAAACAATGTTTCTAAACTCTAAATGCTCTAAAAGAGCACAGAATGTCATGATTTCAGCTCCCTGCCTCAACTGCTCTCAGCCAAGCAAGCACGTTCTAAGCATGTGATTTTTGAGCAAGCACTCTTGGCCACACCTACTTCTCTGCTCTGCACAGAGAACAGCTGATGAGCTGCAGCAGGAAGTTTATCCCGCAGTGTGAGCTGCACAAAGGTGCAGCAGGTACTAAATAATTTACAAAAATTAATTTTAAATAAAAATTCCATGCCGATTGTGTGGCACATCCATCAATCAGCCAATTGTGTGTCATGTCCAATCTTATTTAGAAAAACCGCGATAGAGCGAGTCCACCATAAGCGAACCGCGAAGTAGCGATGGACTACTGTACAGCTAAATCAAACCAACACAGAGCAAACCATTTGATTACATTTCCACTCTAAACATCTAACATGGCTTCTTTCATGTTAAAATGGTAAAAAGGATGTATGTTGTCCATTTATTTTTCCTCCTCAGGCCACAGTGGAGCATTGTGTGATGGACAACAGCAGAGTTCCCCCTCAGAGCAGCCTCTGAACCTGCCTCCCCCTGGGCTCCAGAGCACCGATGATAAACAGACTGTGAGACACGTTCTGCTCTGTCTGCTGCTCATAGTCAGCCTGCTGGCAGTAAGTGTTCGAGTTTACTGAGGTGATGCTTTGATGTGTAGCAAGGGAACATGCCCAAAACATTTAGTCCTACTTTTCTTGCTGTATTTTTCTTTCCTGGATATACATAACACATAATATGTGCTGTAAGATGTCCTGACATGTGCTGGATGTCTGTCTGTAGAATCTGTCCAGCTGTCTGTGGTGGTTGTTCAACAAAGATCCAGGGAGACTGTACCTCGAGCTGCAGTTTTTCTGTGCTGTGGCGAACTATGGACAGGTACTTCTACATGTTGACAGCTTGTGTTTTCAGCTATTGAAAAGACAAATATCAGATGTTCAACTGCAGCTCCAGTTTTTACAGAAAATAAATCTCTGTGTTCCAGGGTTTTCTGTCTTTTGGAATTTTTGGTTTGGACATCTTACCATTCAAGAAGAGGTGAGACTTCAGCAGCTTGTTGGCCACCATTTCTAAAATACTTGAAATATTAATACTAACATGGAGTTGTTGTGTTTTCCAGGTTGCTCAGTTTTTGGCAGGGAGGGGACAGTGATGATCTGAGTCCTTCTGACGAAGCTGAGGAGGTCAGGCTCACCTGCACTCAGTTTGTTCGCTACCACAAAGACCAGTGTGTACAAGACATAGTACACACACACAGGTACGAGTACTACGAGATGTACACACATGTTAAACAGTCATTTTAAAGTCAGTCTTACCCGCGTACTTTTTCAGTTAAAGGAAAGTTGCAAGGTAAACAAGTGGAAAAGGCCTTCGAGCCTTTAATGTACTTGGTTTTCCTCCTTTATCTTTGACACTGCATGGTCAGTTCTTTTTGCTGCATGTTTTCCTAAAGTCTAGTCAAGAGGCCGGAGCAAAAATACACTTTAAGCAACAAAACAAAAAACCTCTTGTGCTAAGTTTTTTTTTTGTTTGTTTGTTTTACTAAATCTTGTGTGCTACTTTTTATATTTTCTAACACATCTCTGTGATTCTTTTCCCATTTCCACAGATGAATTAATCCTTTCCCTGCTCTGTTCTTCGTCTCTCCTTCCCTCCTCCTTTTTGCTTGGTTGTTTTCTCCTTCCTGTCCACTTCTTCACCTTGTAGTGGCTCAGGGGAGAGTATGAACACGCCGACAGGTGAATCCTTCCTCTGATTGTCACAGGTTTGAAGGAGGGACAAACGTGAAGAACGGAGCAAGCGATCCCTCCTCCCATCATCCCCAGTACCTAAACACAAATCAAAATCTTCAGGAGCCCAGTGAGTCGCAGAATCTGCACCGAATCCCAGCCGAGTCCAGCCACACTTCTCTTCCATCCAACTCTGAGCCTCAGGATGAGCACCAAGCCTATATGTCCACCCTTCGTGGACACAAAGAGGAGATCCCTGAGCTGCACTCAGACCAAGTTCACAGTCCAACCCAGTCCAGTCCTGAAGGAGTGTTTGGAGGTAGCAACTTGGTGGACTGGCTTGTAGAAAGGGGCCTGTGCTCTGGACGAGACGAGGCCAAACTTTACGGCGGTCGCCTCCTGCAGGGAGGAGTGTTCAGTCACCTGACAGGCCTGCAGAGCTTCAGAGATGAGCCCTCTCTGCTGTACCACTTCACCGTGGGGGGACAGGTGGTCCAGCAACACGCGAGGGAACGAGAAGGAGCGACGGAGAAGATATGAAGACGCAAGCACCAAAGTGAAAGTGCCTTATGGTGCAGGCTGTTCCAGTGGCCGCTAATGACCGACTGGATCATTTTCCACAAAGATCTGAAGTTTTGAGAGAAAATTGTGATACTTTGGCTTGAAAAGATATTAAATGATACATCTGATAGCATGCTTCCACACTTCCCATTAATGTCAGCTGCTTGTCCAGTCCAGTGTTCTGCTTGGGCTCAGATTTATAGACTGTATTTTGCAGATGTAAAGGAAGTTACTCACAAAAACAAACTAATAAAAGTCTGTGTTGTAGATCTGTTTAAAAAAGAACCCGACAAGGTGATCAAACACTGCCTGCTGATCCCTGACCCTGTGAAGCTCTGAACCAAGTCTTAAGTCTTTTTACTTGCAGTTCTGCTTTTACTCCTCCAAAATATGATTACAGTTAAACATGTAACCTTTAGTGTCCAACTGTGCTGCACTGGTCAGGTCTTCACAAGGATTTATGTACAGGATCAACACATTTTTAAACGGTTTCCTCATCCTCAAGTATTTTATACATTTGTGTCTGTGGTGAAAAAACAAAGCAGACTGATGAACCGACAGCCTTTATCTTTCATGTTATTGATTTTTTTTATGTCGTGACTAAAAACTAAAACATCCTTCAGAATACTGGTTACATTTTAGTATTTTGTTTTGCACGCCATCTTTGAACCAGTTTGGTCTATGCATGACTCAGCAGTACCAGTTTTTTTGCACAGCACTGATTGAACTAACGTGTGGAGAACATTGTTGAGTTCCGCAGGACACTGGAGGTTTCTGTCCTGAGGATGCTGCAGGAGGTGTTTATCTTTTGCAAACTACCGGTAATTGTTTCTTGGGAACTGATTTTATTTTTCAAATATTACTAAATGGATTCATTAGTAAAATCAGCTCCGATGCCTTTCTCCTCAGATCTAGCTTGATTCAGGATTTCGTCTCAGCCTGTCTTTGCCACTGAGTTATGCCTAAAGTTCGGAGGTCAAATGCACATGCCATTTATGTTTTCATGCATTTAAAAAATGTTATGGACAGAGTTGTGATTCTTGTCTGTAAGTGTATTTAATGTAAATCAACTGTTCACATTGGGCTGCAGCTTCTTTGCAGTGATCTGATATTTACAGTGTGTTGGGTTGAGCTGGAGGATGAATGGTGACACATGCACTTAAAATACCAGAGAAAAGCAAAAAGACCTCACTAATATCATACTGACCATTGTTCTGGCTGTCTTAGTGAGACTGGTCTAGAGTTAAAAAAAAAAAAAAAAAATCCTCCATCCAAATCTCCCTGAAGTTTATTTTTTGACCAAAATGTGACCATTCTAGAGTCTGAAGATATTTTCTCCCATAATCCTACTGGTGCATATGTTTCCAGTTTTTATCTTCTGCCATGTGATGCCACAACCCATACAGTTCACATCAAGTTTTTATGTTAAGAGTTTACACATTTTTTTTGTGTGTTGATAGTGCCTGAGCTAATGTGTGAGTTTGCATGAACAGTATCAGCGTGCACGGTGTGAGTGCAAGAAAAAAAACAACAGGTTTTACTGAAAGGTTTATGTGCAGCTGACAGATCTACTGAAGATGTTTCTGAAGTCAAACGGGGTCGATGGATGACCGCTGGGGGACAGCCGAGTCACAAATTAAATGCAGTTTGCATCAGATGTGTTTACCTTGTGATTTACTGATTCTGAAGATGAACGCCAAACAAAATGTAATAAATGACAAAGACTATATAATTGCATATCCATCATTAATGGGAGTTCCACAGGGTTCCATCTTAGGTCTGTTGCTTTTCTGTTTATACATCAACAACTTACTGGACAGGTGCAAATACGCCAAATGTCAGATGTATGCAGATGATGCCATCGTATACACATCTGCAAAGACTCCACAACAGGCAGCAGAGTTACTGAACAGGGAGATGGACGGAGTGTCGCAGTGGTTTAAAAATCACTGTTTGACACTGAGCTGCAATAAAACAGTCTCAATGCGTTTCCCTATCCGGCGTAAAGTCTAATAACTTTTCAATTGTGATTGATCAGAAAGAAATCCAAAAAGTAGATGAGTTTAAATATCACCTTAACTTTGAGGCTCACATTAGGAAAGTGTTTAAAACCATTAAGACAAACATAATTTGTTTTTGTCCTATAAGATCATGTTTAGGCTTAAAATCTGCTGAGTTGTACCTACATGCCATGATTCTGTCTCATTTCTCATACTGTGTCACTGTCAGGAGCCAAGCATCTCAATCTGCTTTAAAACCTATGAGGATGTTGTTTTCACAAGCACTGAAAGTTTTAGACCAAAAAAAGTCCAACCAAGGACTGAGTTTGCAAATTAGCCTGTGGCTGGAAAACCTTCATACAAAACAACAGTTGCACCGTTCTTATCATGCAACATTGTTTATTGTGCTGTCTTTGATCAAGTAAACTTGAATGAATGAGTCAGAACAAAAAAAACAACTACTACCATATGCACAATTTTAAATGGTCTGTGCACTCCTTTAATTAGACATTTTGTAAAAATGTTATTTCACTTGTCGCAGTTTGAAGCAGAAGAAACAGTATTATTAAGACTCAAGGTGTTGCCTATGGATGGTAAGGTTAAAACTTCACCTGCAGGTATAGTTCAATGGTGCTTTTGATCAACCTTTTATTTTTTTTAAAGGCATAGATGCTCAAAATTTAGCTAAATAATTTTACTTATTCTCATAAAAGTATCATTCCTTGATAGATTAGTCCGCTGCCTTGCACACTGTTTTAACACATGTTGCATTATTAGTGCTGGAGATGATTCTCAACTATTAACTCATATAATTTTAGCTAAACTTCTGTAAATATAAAAACTAAATTGAGTCTTTTTTTTTTCTTTTCTAATGCAGACTAGGTGTGGTGTCTGAGTGTTCAGTGATAACAGCGATCAGGTACAATGTTCTGAAACTGATGTCAAGAACACATCTTTATTTCTGTAAGTCTGTTAACTCCAAGCACTAAAGTCCAGAAAAACTCCACATTTGTTTAATCTTTGGTGAAACCCTGACAACATTCCCCTGTGAATACATCAAAATTAAGACATTTAAATGCTTCAGGCAATCAGTTCTTTAAGTTTAGGGAGCTGCGATGACAAATATGAAGACAATAATATATCAACAGTCAGCTGAGCTCCATACTGTGAAGAGATTTAGCAGCAAGTGTCTGTACAAACATCTGGGGCCAGATGTGTAGTGTAGTTTATCTGAGGCTGTGTATTAAAAATGTATTTTTATTTTTGCTCTCTTATGTGCTTCATGAATGTGAAACAGATTTTCATTGATGAACAAGAAAAAAAAAAGTATTTGTATGATATCACATCTGGAATCACTTTTAGCAGAAAATAATGCCCGATATTTAATATTATATTAATCATTATAATTGTTATTTAATTATATTAATATTTAGAGCAAAGGACTGTGCAGAAGAAAAATAAATCTGATTACATTAAGAGTGCAAACAATACGTCATCTAACAAACAATAACAGCCCACTTGAACCTAAAGTGAAGCCTGACCATTTACCAGTAAACCATCAACACCATCACTAATTGTGTTTTTAAAAACTCTTATAAAAACCAAGAAATAAAAGTGCAGTAATCGTCATTAGAACAAAATAGGTTTGGCTTAATTCAGCCGTCTGTTCTGTTTAAATGCTGTTCGGTAGAACCCACATTTCAGTAAATTCAGTGGATCAGGCTTGAAAGATGTTAAGAATCTGTGCATGCAATGGGAACAGTGGAGCAGTGGTTAGTGCCTCACAGCTAGAAGGTCGCAGGTTCGCCTCTCAGTCATCTTGTGTGGAGTTTGCATGTTCTCTCTGTGCACTTGTGGGTTTTTCAGGATTCACTGGTTTCATCCCACAGACCAAAAACATGCATATTGGGTTTACTGGTAACTAAATTGCCCTGAGGTGTGAGTGAGAGTGTTTGTGTCCCTGTGATGGACTTGAGACCTGTCCAGGGTGTCCCCCCACCAAACACACAGTGCTAGAGATGGGCCCCAGCTGGAAGGAAAAAGCAGATAAAACTAAAAGAACAGACTGATGCACAGCTTTACATCAGTAATTCTTCTACTTTGTATGTAGCATAATGCTGGTGTGTTGAACCGCTTTGACTAAACGAAGCTTGTGTTCATGATATATACCCCTGATCGGACAAGTCTGTGTGTTGTGTAAAATAAAATGAACACACACTCAGAATCAGACAAACGCCTGAGCAGCAGTTAACTGCAACAAATAGGAATTATAATTAAAATGACTATATTAGAACAAAAACTCTTTGTAAACCACATTTGTTTTTAACTGTTGCATCCAGGAACTAATCAAAAATAGTTTCTATTTCTTTGTTTATTAAAAATTCAATAGGTTCACGGAACTTTTTTTTTTAATTTCCGTTTTGGTCAAAGAAGATGAGCAATCTGATTGGTGCTATTAGCATTTCAGTGATGCTATTTAGAGTCACGAACATAAGACATCACCTTTATGAAATTTAAGAACAACAACAAAAAAAAAAAAAAAAACACAAGTAAAGATTCAGCTGAATAAGTGACAT